TATTGATGATTCTGTGCCACCAGGGACTAATCGTTTTCTGGACTCTCTGAGAAGGCATTGTCTTTTAGGGGGAAAAAAACCCAATATGATTGAAATGAAACCCGTTTCATTACTTAGACGGTTCGTCTTTTAGCTGTTATGAAAATCTTCATCATCATCATGTCTTACTCCTTGAGGTTTCTAAAAAGCAGAGATTATACAGTATTATAATACAGGGTGATATCAGAATTATGAGATAGAATTTAGCATAATCAACTTTATAGTAGCTTGAACCCTCTTTCATAGCAAAGAAGATGTTACATTGAACAAAGCCCTTTAGGAAAATATTGCGCTTACAAATTTGTCTTTTAGGGCAGTAGCAGAAAGTACTTAAGTAGAGTGATTATGTTATCATAAAATAGTTAGAAAGGGAGATAGCAGAACACGTGGCTGTTGACATGGAATGTTTATTTTGGAGAGAATTCTTGGCCTTTTTGCCCCATGTCAGCATAATAAGAATTTGGGGGAGAGAAGGGAAGCGTTAATGTATTTGTTGAGGATTAATGTCCCTGTAGAGAGCATCTGTGTTAGTGAATATATTATGGATTGTATCATAAATGTAGTGATTAGAAAGTTGCACTCTAAACACTTCGCGTACTGGCATAAATATTCCTTTCCTCTCCTTGGTGGCTTGCATTCACGTGACTAGTGTGTTGTTCATCTTGGTCTCCTGGATTCTTTTTCTCTGTTTTTGAATAATTCGTTTATTTTTGGCTGTGCAGGCTCTGCTCTCGTTGCCGCGAGCAGGGGCTGCTCCCTCGTTGCGGTGCTCTGGCTTCTCACTGCGGTGGCTCCTTGTTGCGGGCTCCGGGGTACTCAGACTCCAGGAGTTGCAGGGCAGGCGCTCGGTGGTTGTGGCTTATGGGCTCCCGAGCACAGGCTCGTTCACTGGGGTCATGGGTTTAGTTGCTCCACAGCATGTGGGATCTTCCCGGAACAGGGATCGAACCCGTGTCTCCTGCATTGGCAGGTAGATTCTTCACCACTGAGCCACCAGGGAAGCCTTGGTCTCCTAGATCCTTAATCAAGAATAGAAAAACGGATGGCAGTGTTCTAGATCTGTTTCCTTCTCAATGTATTGCTGTTCAGATGGGCGGAGACAGAGTCAGTGTTTCAGGACCGAGTGACCGAGTGATTTTTTTTAACAGTTCAGAGGTGTGGCGCAGAGTGCGTACTAACAGACAAAAGAAGAACCTACAGTTCCTTACTTCTGGGGACTTTGTCCTTAAAGTTGTCTCCAGACAATAACCACAGTGTGCTTCTTGTCGTGTGTGAAATGTGTTCCCTGTGATCGGCGATGCCTCAGAGCTTACGTGCTGTAAAAGAAGTGAGATGATGAATAATACAAATACATGTCAGGATCAGAATTTTCCAGGAAGAGACTTGATTATCTCATTAGGGTCTGTTGCCCCAGTGGGCTGAGCTGAGCTGGTGGCCCTGTGGATGAGCAGTAGCAGGAGAGGCACCCTGCTGTTGAGAGTAATGATGTTCTGTCCTCAGTGAAGGATAACAAAGGCAGACGGATGTAAAGTGGGCAGTTTCTATTCTTTGTATGCACAAAATGTTTGCACCTACTTATTTTCCCTTTTAAGAGGCATATTGTTTTTCATGATGTCTGAACTGTCTTACTTACACAATATTTATTTATGAGTTCCTAAAGAGTTTCTTCTGTAAAGAGGAAAGTCGGTGCAATTGAAAGCGATTTGCAGCTTGACTCTCTCATCAGGGTGGGAAAGGAAGGAATAGAAAGAGTAATTCTGTCCTCACCCTTTAATTGGCCTCTTTATCTCCTGGCTGAGAGAACTCTTCACTTATGTATTGGTTCATCGATTGATTCCATATTTATGGACTGTTTGCTGTATCCTCTGTGCCCCAGGGACGCGGAGATGGATGGCACAGTCCGTAGGCATCCGATGGCTCTGGAACCTTCTCTGTCCTGGCTGACTTTAAGGATAATCGTGTGTTTATCTACAATTCTGAAATTCTGTCATCCTCCAGCGATGGCCGGTAGATATGGTCATGTAACCAAAACAGGCTAGTTCTGGAGCAGCCTTGGAGTTTGTGAGATCACAAAGGTTGCTTGGAGAACAGAAAAGCTGCTTTATAAGGTGTTCTCCATCGCATTAGACTTTCTAATGAACCTTGCTACGCTTGGCATTGTTGGAGCTCTTTTCAAGAGCCGAGTTACTCCACCCACTTCCAGGCTCGCCAGAAGCTGAGGTGGAAGCGTGGGCAGGAGCCTGGAGCAGGGTGACATCTTCAGGGACATTTCACTGGGGAGTCACAGGCAGGTGCCAGCTCCATTCTCCTCCTCTTGCCTTTTCTTTGAGGTGCCTGACTTTACTCTTGTTAGATTGGTCATGTTAGAAGGTGTCCGAATGGAAGCATCTTAAGAAGCCTGTAGGGTAGTGGGTCGTGGTTTCACTTTGAAACTATGTGTAAATCTTTGGAAAGGTTGGCCCTGAGATCAGAAACCATTTTAAGCAGAGAATTCACCTGAATCTTCTGCTGCTGAACTGTTTCTTTTAGCACTGATATGTTCTGCTGTGGATGTGCTGATCTTGCAAACGCCCCTTCCTGTCTTGATTCATACTGGCTGTTTATTTACCTGAAAACAGGGTTAGACTACTTTAATTTTAGAGGATAGCCCAATACCAAGATTTTCAAGATCTGTGGCATCAAACCATTTGTGTGCCAACTTATCCTTAGCAAAGAGCCATGGCAACTATTTTGTCTACATGTTGATGTCATATGGTCCGTTGTCTCTAATGTCTCACCAATGCTGTTACCGTCAAACTTACTATAACCACATTTGTTTTATTCCTTTAGTTGTAATATTCTTCTAATGTCAGAGGGTTGTGGATTCTGCTTTCTCTTAAGGTCAGTTCCTTCACCTGTCTTCCTGACCTTCTTTGGGTCACTATCCTGTTCTTACCACTTCCTCTTGAACTCTCACCCTTTCTCTCTCTACTGATTGCTTCAGCTAATCAGTGGACTTCCATTAGCACCAGTCTCTTCCAACAACTGTTCATTCTCATTTCTCTTCTCTCACTTGCTGCTATCTCTGCCTCCACCACCTCAGTGAAACCACCTTCAGTCGAGGTGGCCCTTGACTGCTGAAGTGCCAAATCCAAAGCTGTATTTTTCATTTATCTTTAATCATCTCATTGTCTTCCATGGTACCTCTCTGACTTTCTTCTTTGGTCTCTTTCACAAGGTCTTTTTCCTCTCCCCATTCTATCATTGTGTTCTCTAGCCTTCTGCTTTTAGCACTAATCCTCCAGTCATCTCTCTCTACCCGTATTCCTTCAGTGATCTCACCTGCAAATCTAATTCCTGCTACTTCCTATGTAATAACCACTTTTATGTTTTGCTAAGGTTTCTTTGCCAACCTTCACACTCAAGAACATCTGGAAGTCCTCACCCAGATCTTCTACATCTCAATTTCTAATGCACAAACTAAACCCATTGTCTTCCTTATTAAACTTGTTCATTCACTAGTATTCTCTACCTCTATCGTCACTATCATCCACCCACATGGAGTCAAGTACCATGTTGTTCTGCTTTTAGTGTCTGGATGGTTCAAGTACCAACTCTTCTCCCCTTTTCCCTTCCCCGCCACCTCCGCGCCCTAATTCTACCCGTTTCTCTCCTACCTGACCACCAAGCGGGCCCTACTGGTCTCCTTGCCTCTGCTCTGCCCTCTGTGAATCCATCCAGAAAGTAATGTTTCTGAAGCTCAGATCTGAGCCGGCAGTGGCTCTCTGCAGCCGGTTCAGAGGTTTTGAATGTGTGTACATGGTTGCGGTGTGGCTCCAGCTTCTTTCCTGGCTTCACCCTGGAGAGTCTAGCAACACTGAATTACACTGTGCAGTTTCTTCCTTCTGCCTTTTCCGTTGTCCGCTCTCCCACTCCCAGCCTGGCTAAGTCCTGCTCAGCCCGAGGACAGGCTAGGCATCCCTTGTATTTGGAAGTCTTCCCTGCTTCTCTGGAAGCAAGGCTTCCATTTCTGGGTGGCTTGCCATTAATCCGAGTCACTGTGTGCATCCCACTGCCCTTTGGGGATCATTTCTGTGAGTTTCTCGGTCCCAATAGACTTTGCTTTCCTTAAAGACAGAGGCAGTGTCTTATCTCTGTGGCTCTCGAACCTAGCACAGTGCTTCGCATATAGGAGGCGTCCAGTGAACGATTTTTAAGTGAAAAATTGATAAGGACAGGGAATCAATTTGTCTACAAAACTGGGCACAAGTAATCCATGCAGAGTAGTACCTTTACAAGGGGGCACGAAGTGGGGCTTCCGGGGTGCTGATAATGTTCTGGGTTTTGATCTGGTGTGTTTAGTTTAGGAAAATTCATTGAGCTGTCCATGTGTGGTATGTGTCATTTTCTGTATGTTTTACTTCAATGAAAAGTTTAAAAAAAATTAGATATTTTTGTTGCTCAATACAGAAAATCTCATGTCTCCTTTCAAGCTTTTCAAGTTTTTGTAGGTATGAGTTTAGATGTGACAGCAAAGTGCCAGGCTAGTGCTGTTCCTTGATGTGAAGAAGAGTGAGATGAGAAAGCATCAGCATGGGTGCGGTCGTCTGGTCTTCTCAAGAGGGCCAGTGAGGGCCAGCACTGATGGACAGACTTGTGGTCACCTGTGCTTCTGTCACACTCAGTAGAGGGACCACATGCTAATTATCAGTGTGCTCTGGGCCTTCCGGCAGTGGCAGGGAGACTTTATCTTGGATGTGACCATGAATAATTCATCAACCTGGTTATCTGGAAATTTGTGGTCATCATTAGCATTTTAATGAAAAAAACTGCAATCATTATCCTAAATCTGTTTTTTTAATTTCTGCCTTTTTTTTTTCTTCTTCTTTTTGTCTCCCTCCTGTAACAGCTTACCATCTCAGTCTTTCCTGAGTGCTTGGAAACTGCCGGGGTCCCTGACAATGTGCTGACTGGTCGTCGCTATGGGCAGACGGTACCTAGAGGCTCACTGTCATCCAGGCAGCTCATGTACGTATGGGGTTTGTCTCTCTTTTCCCCCTTTAATTTTCCCTGTCGACTATGGCAGGGTACTGAACTGGTGACGGTTTATAAGATATACATGAGAGTATTCAGAAATGCAGGAGAATGGATTGCTCTAGGGTGAGTTTTTAATATTGAATGATGGGAAGTGTTATCTAAATTAGGGTTTTTATAAATCAGTGGCCCTATAAGACAGACCAGAAGTGTGTATCAGCAGTCTCTCTTTTCTGTTTCAGTATATCCACTTACACATAGGTTTTTTTTTTTTTCTTGCTTGTTTGTTGAAGCTTTCCTTTTTCATTGCAGTATATAACATTTGAAACAATAGCAATGTTGTAAATTAGAAACACTTCCCAGTGACTTAAAAAATAGCTTTGAAATAAAAAAATTCATGGACCCAGAAGAGGTCCTCAGGGTATGTCATGGTTGAATACATGTTGGCGAGAGTCCCCAACTCTAATATCTTACCACTCTCCACCGGAGGGAAGCGTTGATTCCCCCAGTGACGACTTACTGTGTCTCACAACAGTTCCCTTTTGCCAGTATTAGTCTTTTGGGAATGTCCACAAATGCAGCCTTTTCCTGTTTGGTCCCATTCTGATTAACTTAGGAGAAAAATGGTCGTTGTGCATTTAATTTATAATTTATTGAATAATTTAATTAAATTATTTCTATAAAGTATAGTCTGTCTCAGACTTGTTTTTTTCTCCCCCTTTAGTCTCTAAACCTTAGGCCAGCTCTTTAGGTATTTACTTACTTATTTTGCATCCCTTTGGACCTCTGGAATTTTGGCTTCAAATCAGGGATGTGTGTTGGGTCATTCCTCGGAATGCTTGTGCTCCCCATCCTTCCATAGTTATGTTTATTCATAGTCAACCCAAGCCCCATTTCCTTGTACATTTCCCTTCTTTTTTTTTTTTGCCTTCATAGAAAAGTTAGAACCACCCTCAACCCTTCCCCCAGACAGTTGCTTCTGAAATAAGCCAGGTCATCAGAAGAAGCAGCGGGAGGGAGAGCTGACAGCCCCAGACCAAGCACGCCAGCGGTAGAGCCCCTGGGTGGGAGCCCTGGCCTTTGCACCTCCACTTTCGTATCCTTCAAGGGCATCGCTGTATTACCCTCAAATCAGCGATTTTCACAGTGAACATAGGTGATACCGTAAAACGGAGATTGGCAAAGGGTGGCCCATGAGTCAGATCCAGCCCATTCCTGTTTTTGTAGGGACTGACAGAGATTTTCATGTTTTTGAATGGCTACCTGCCTAATCTGTGGTTTTTGCCTCTTGGCCCTCAGAGCCTGAAATATCTACAGTTTGACCTGTTAAGAAGAAATTTTGCCTATCTCTGCTATAGAAATACTTTGAAGGCATGTACTACGATTGAACCATATGAACTTGCTAATATTCAACTGTTTTTGACCTACAAAATTGCTGATTGCTTATGTGGTAGTTTAGTCACCACATCATGTCTGACTCTGTGGCCCCATGGACTGTAGCCCGCCACGCTCCTCTGGCCGTGGAATTCTCCAGGCAAGAATACTGAAGTAGGTAACCATTCCCCTCTCCAGAGGATCTTCCCCAGCCAGGGACTGGACCTGGGTCTCCTGCGTTGCAGGCGGATTCTTTACCAACTGAGCCACCAGGGAAACCCATGATTGCTTATGGTTCAGTCTAAGATATTTCAAGGAAATTCTTCCTTTAACATGGTTAAAATTTTAAAATTTGGGTTCTTGGAGCAGAGGAAGTGAATTACCTTGGAAAATTCACAAGTGTTGGCCTGCTCGTCTGGGCCAAGCCCAGGAGGGTGTGATCAAGGCCTCGAGGGCCGTCACTGTGACGGGCCCCCTACTGCTCACCCGCCCTGGCTGTCCTGCCTTCTCTCCTGCTCATGGGATGGACATTTCCTCCCTTTCTTAAGAAATGGCTGTTTAAAAAGCTTCCACAGTACTGGGCACATACGATCGTTTCTCTTGGCTTCTCTCCTTGACTTCCTCTGTTCTCAGTGATGAAAGACGTGGCTTTTGTTTGTTTTTCTGTTCTGCGCCACTCTCTGTGTCCTGAATTTACTAGAAATTCTGTACTTCAAGTGGGATATGCTCTGGAAAGTTCGTATTATCATCCTCAAAACTGAGGCTTGAAGCCACAAAGTAACTTGACCGTGTAGAGTTGCAGTGTGAGCCTAGATTCACTGCCTTCTGCTTGTGTCCTCTCCTCCCGCCAGACTTGCTGGTGACCCGCTCATCACTTGGGTGATCACTTGTTTAGATATTGTCCACTTCTCTGTTCCCCACGCCATATCTTTTAGTAATATGGTCTTAGAAGCCTAGAAGATTCAGCATCAAATGATGCTGATATCTGTCTCAAATCTCCTTTTTTTTTTATTCATTATTTGAACCCGGTTACTACAGGTAAATCTGTAGGCCCTCAGAGAGAACTTCATATCGAGAGAGTATAATAATATAGTAACAGCACTTTAAAGATCTTGCAAGTCATATATGTTTAATATAGAAAAATTTAGCTTGATTTTTATTTTATATTGGGACTTATATTCAGTGTTGTGTTAGATTCTGGCATACAGCATAGGGAACCAGTTGTGCATATACACATAAACCCATCCTTTCTCAGACTGGTGTCCCGTGTCGGTAATTACGGCACACTGCATAAAGCTGCCTGCGCTCTGCAGTATTATCTAGTTTATATACAGTAGTGTGTTTGCATTATTATTTTATATATATAGCCGTGTGCGTGTGTTAATCCCAAACTCCTAACTTATCCTTCCCCCACGTCTTTCCCCTCTGGTAACTAGAAGTTTGTCTTCTAAGTCTCTGAGTCTGTTATTGTTTTGTAAATAAGTTCATTGGTGCCAGATTTTTAGATTCCACATATAAGTGATATATGATGTTGGTCTTTGTCTAACTTCACTCAGCGTGATAGGTTCATCACTGTTGTTGCAAATGGCCTTATTTCATTCTTTTTTTTTTATAGCTGAGTAATGCATGGGTGCTTAGTTGTGTCCAAACCTTTGTGACCCCTTGAAGTGCAGCCCACCAGACTCCTCTGTCCATGGAAGTTTCCAGGCAAGAATACTGGAGTGGGTTGCTATTTCCTTCTCCAGGGGATCTTCCCAACCCAGGGATCGAACCCCCACCTCTTGCAACTCCTGCGTTGGTAGGCAGATTCTTTACCGTTTCACCACGTGGGAAGCTCATGGCTGAGTAATATTCCATTGTGTATATGTATCATGTCTTCTTTAGCCATTCCTGTGTTGATGGACATTTAGGTTGCGTCCATGTCTTGACTATTGTAGATAGTTCTGCAGTGAACTTTGGGGTGCATGTATCTTGTAGAATTAGGGTGTTCTCTAGACATATGCCCTGAAGTGGGATTGCTGGATCATATAGTAACTGTAGGAGGCTTTAAGTCTTCAAAGCTTCAGCTTTCTCCACTGACTCTGATTTCCATTTTCAGTTCTGGCCCAAGGATTTATTTCTCATGATTTTGGCGTGTTTTCCTTGTATTTAGAAAGTTGTTAGATCTTATTCAGTTTTTTCATGTATTTGAAACAGGCAGTCCTTTTTTGTCATCTTTGCTTACCGTATTGACTAGAAACTTCACCGCTGCAGTCTGATTAAAGGATTTTTAAGCCTTTTGAATCATCCGATTGTAATCCCTGATTTCCTTAGAACTTTAAATAGAGATAGGTGTTAAATAAATATTCCTTCAGTGGATGGGTGTTCTGCGGATCCTTTTACTGAGTTGCCTTGCGTCTGAGTAACCGCACTTGTGTAGTTTAGTGAACTGCAGTCTCAGTGATGGACACCTCATTCTTCGTGGAATACCACCTTCCGTGCACAGCTCGAAATCAGTAGGTTAGGCTCTAGATTGTCAGATGTTATGTGAACCGAAGCTGTGAAATTGTTTTATGAGGCCTGTCTCCTAGCAGTATTTTTAGGTTATTTATAAACACAGAAACATATTTCATGTCGTAGTAAGTAAGGGTCTATCTTGACTTTATGAGTAATAAAGAAAGATTACTTCTATATATTTATCTTTCTCTGAAGAAGAATCATCCAAAGTTCAGTCGTCCAAGTTAAAATCCCTTCTTTGTAAATTTTTTCTTTTTAAAAAAATCCTTCTCTCATCTGTTTCTTCTGAGCTAGAGATTTGAGGTCTTGTTCTGTTGTCATTAAAAAAAAAAAAAGTTCTCCTTTTACAAGGATGCTGTGGATCTAGTGCTTTCCTCTGCAGGAACAAGGAGAAGGGAGCGAAGTAGCCTCATGTCAGGTCTTCAGTGTTAGGAGTCAGCATGCTGGAAGGCAGCCCGCCTGGTGTCTCTGCCAGCTGCAGAAGAAGACCCTGAAGAACACGGCAGAATAGTTCTTGGAGAGCTGAGTGTGCGTCGCTTTTCTATTCCCAAACACTGGCTTTGTCGCTGCAGGGGAACCTGTTGGTAGAGTGTAGTGAGTACCTGCATTTCTAGGATAACTGTAGGGGTTCTGAGCGGCCTTTTCCTCACACCCCATGTGAAGAGGGTTGGGTTGGTGGGGATGGATAGCCTTCTGGATACGTGGGTAGGCTTTGACTCAGGGAGAGATAAGAAGGGTGTGTTATCCTTGGGGAGGTGGCCACAGCACTTTCTGCCAGGGGAGTGAGTAACTGGGTGAAAATGTCCCAGCCAGACTGGGGCTTCCCTGGTAGCTCAGACGTTAAAGCCAGTCTGCCTACAATGTGGGAGACCCGGGTTCGATCCCTGGGTTGGGAAGATCCCCTGGAGAAGGAAATGGCAACCCACTCCAGTGTTCTTGCCTGGAAAATCCCATGAACTGAGGATCCTGGTAGGCTACAGTCCAAGGGGTCGCAAAGAGTCGGACACGACTGAGCGACCTCACTTTCTTTCACTTTCTGGGAGCCTCTGGAAAGGAAAGGACACAAGTGAGCAACTTTATGGGGCAATTTTGAAGCCAAAGCAAATAGAATTGTTTTTCCAGGT